GGGGGCTGGGGCAGCCCCTCGGGAACCCCCCGAGGGGGGGCGAGCACTGCAGCACGCAGGCTACGGGGACACGGCACCGCGAGCGAGCTGACAGCTCGGGCTGCCTTCCCACTCTGGCTGTTCCCATGCCTGGAGCAGAACTGGGACATGGAAACCGTTATGGCTGGTAAGAAAAAAAAAAAAAAGAGGGGAAACCACCCTCTTGCTCCTCCTCTGCGGGCAGAGAAACCCAGGAGTTGGGGGAGCGAGACTGCATCCCCCCACCCCCAGGAGTGGTATTTATCCCTGAGCTGTTTAATCGAGGGAAGGCAATCCCAGAAAAAGCCTCTTCCGAGCGGGCGGGAGACGGCCCAGTGCCGACGGGAAGGGGAGAGCGGGCTGGGACGATGCCAGCATCCGAAGGCAGGCGGCAGGAAAGGATTAAAACACCAGATTACAGGATTCCCTCTGGGGACACATGTTACTAGGCTAACTCATTCCCTGACCACCGGCCAAGCTCCCTCCCCGCGAGCTCAGAGCGCGCTCAGGCACACCGGGCTGTTGAGGGAGGGCAAGGAAGGATCGGCCAGCAGGAACAGACGCCTCCAAAACCGGCTCAAAACCGGGGCTGGGAGGGGAGAGAAACCTCAGTGCGAAGCATAAAGGCCTGGAAGAAATCCCTTCCACGAAGTCTAAGCTTCCCTGGAATTGGCAATTTACAGGGACCGGGTGGGAGGGGTTTCGTTCCACGAAGAACAAGCAAGCAGGCGGGTGCTGTTCCACTCCCCCGCGCGCTGGCACACACCAGCAGCCGACGGGGGAAGCAGAGACGCTTCTCATGCAGCGTCAGGAGGGAAAGGAAGGACAGAAGGCGTTGCAGAAACACAGAGCGAAGCAATGCATGTGCTTTAGGCGGGGTGCTTGTCTCCCTCACCCCACACCATGGGTACACGGGGATATCTTGGAAGGTTCTCCACAACCCCACCTACATTCATGCTTCCTCCTGTTTCTGGATCCTTCCTCTTCCTCGGGCTGGACCTTCTCCTGGGTCCCCTGGGCCAGCCCCTGGGGCTGGACCCTCATCTGGGTCCCCTTGGCCATCCCTTGGGGCAGGACCCTCTCCTGGGTCCCCTGGGCCTGGACCATTCCCTGGGTTCAGACCATCCCCTGGGTCCCTTGGGCCTGGACCGTCTCCCGGGTCTGGACCCTTTCCCTGGGTCCCCCTGGCACCCTGAAGTACACCCATGGGAACAGAGCAAATGTTTTTTGGGGGCAGGTAAGGGCCAGGTTTAACGCTGCCGGAGGGGGGATCATGCATACTCACCGGTTTGCAGGGTCTGCCTCCCCCCTGAGAGCACTCCCAGGGGCAGCGTACCTGTGGGAGTCAGGCCTTTGAGGGTCAGCACGCTCTCGCTCTCCTCTCTGCAAGCAAGAGGGGACACAAGCAGTTACCCAGAGGTCCAGGCAGTGGTCATTCAGGTCCACAGCGAGCAGCATGGAATCGGAGCCTGCCCTGGGTCTGCCCTGCCAGGCACCCGGCACATCCCTGCCTCGGACATACCAGGCCTCAGCCATAGCACATGCACCCCGAAAGGGCTAAATTCTTCCCGGAGAGGGTGGGGGGCACAGGTTGCCCAGAGAAGCTGTGGATGCCCCATCCCTGGGACTGTCCAAGGCCAGGCTGGATGAGGCCTGGAGCAACCTGGTCTAGTGGAAGGTGTCCCTGCCCATGGCAGGGGGTGGGACTGGGTGGGCTTTAAGGTCCCTTCCCACCCAAACCGTGCTGTGAAATACACCTCTGTGGGCAAAGCACTCGAGAGGAAGGTTTCTGGGAGTCACACCACCAGGAATGCAGAAACCACCCCCCTCGAGCCTTCGCCATCTGCTCCGAATCAACGGCCTCGGACGGTTTTTCCCCCCTGGCAGGACTGGGCTCACCCTGACTCAGACCCCAAACCCCAAGATGCTCCCTTACCGAAGGACCGAGAAGACGCGTGCCATCTTCCCGATGGCTCTAATCTTATTCCTGATGATCTCTTTACGGACTGTCGTCCCACCTTAGGGAGAGAAAAGAAACCAAACACCGGCATGTTTAAGGCTTCCCGCTTTCCTGGCGCAGGTAATGTCAGCATGAAGCACCTGCCTGACTCCAGGAAAAGAAACCACGGATTACAGATTCACAGCTACGCTCCGGAGAGAACAGTGCCGAGAGGATGGCGGTCAGGATGGCAGCGAGAAGGGCAACACCAACGAGATGGCACACGGACTTAAGGGTCTAAAGAGAGTAGAACCACCAAAGGGAACGGCTCGGCCGGGTCTTGTCCGGAGCTCCCCGGGGTCGATCACACTACACAGGACGTAACACAAATGACTCAGCCACGTAGACACAGTTTGGCAAGGCAGAACACTGACGAGTCTGATGAAGGCCGGGCTGTGCTCGCCGCGGGGAAGGAGTGTCAGGCAAGCATCAGCTTTGGCATCCAACGCGCACAGTGAAGGGTTGGCCGGAGCCTCGCGACCCTGCTCTGACCCCACAGACACACAGTGAGATACGTGAGCTCCCCCTTCCGCTTCAGGCGGACCGAACGGGAGAGGGAGAGCATGGAGGGGAAGTGAAACCAAGGAAAAGAGGTAACAAATACATCTCCTCTCAGCTGAGATTCCTCACGTGGCCCAACTACACGTTAGGACAGTAGAAGCCAAACCAGAGGTCTAACATGCACCGATGGCTCAGCCATGCACTACGTGGCTGCATTCAGAAGTCAGATAGAAACGTGACCCCCATTTCGAGTTCCTGGAGGAACGCAGAAGGGTTAAAAACAAAACCAAAACAAAAAAACCAAACCAAAAAAAAAGAAACCACACAACCCAAAACACACGGCGCTTATGTTAAAACTGCAAAGGGGATGAAGAGACTGCCCCACTAGTCAGCTAGTCAAATCCACTCTGAGGAATCTGGTGGCACAGGCAGTGAAAATTAAGCTTGTAGCAAATTCTAGCTGGGTACCTTTCTGATAGCTTGAAATGTAGTGATCTTCAGGGAGAGGAGACACCAAGAAACAAGTAGATGAAGACAGAGATAGAAGAAACAAATTTAATTTCCATGGGAGGGAGAAAGAAAAAACAAAAACCAAAAAAAACCAACCAAACCAAAACCAAACCACAAACCAAACCAAAAACGGAATGCAATGGGAGAAGCGGGTTAACGTCTCGACCTGTCGAGCGAAGCAGCCGCACCGCGTCGGACCACAACGGTGTTCTGCTTCTCCGCGGGTCCGCCTCGTGCGCCGCCTTGCACGGGGCTCCCCCCGGACCTCCCCCCCGGGCATGCTGACGGCCCCACGCTTCCTCTAGGTCAAAGCGACACCCCCACCCTCCCCGGGTATGGAAACTGCAGGAAACGAGGGGGTTTTGGGGGTGACACAAGGAGCCGCTGGATAGAGGAGTTCACTGCGACGGATGGGAAGACTGCGGGGGGGGGGGTTTGGGACAGAAAACGTAGAATTGAGGGAAAAAATAACACTGGGGACGCCGTCTCCGTAAGGAGCAAGAAACCATTCTCCAGAGAAGCGTCTGCCGCAGCGACTGTGATTTAATTTCTCCGGGAGCGAAGGAAAAAAAAAAAGCGTTTCCTACCCAGAACCGCACAAGGGTTGGCCAAAGGGGGAACTGGAGACCTTGGCCGGACACGAGGCGATAAATCACCCCCCCACCCCAGCAGCAGCGCGGTCGTCGCGGCCGTTTTTACCTTCCAACGTCTCATCGCCATCCGAGATCAACTCGTCATCGGAGCATATGTTGAGGATGTTAACGAGCATTTCTGTGACTGCAAGAAGCAGAGAGGGAGATTAGGGAGGTCTGGAGCGCATGCCTGGCACACAGAGGGATTGGGAGGACGAGCTGGACGTGGAAAGGGTTTCAAGGTCATTTATACGTGGGAAGTGGAAGCCCAGAGATGCTTTTAGCCGCACACTGCTGGTACCTCACAGCGGTACCCATGGCAGACACACTCCCAACCTTCTGCCAAGGAGGTGGATGCAGTCCAAGCACATCCCAGAGGAAGCAGATGTGGGGAGCGGGGCATCAATGCTCACAGGGAGCAGCCGGGGCTCGCCGAAGGTCCCAGCTCTCCCGCCCCGCACACCTGGAATGTCAGATGTGGGGGAGGATTCAACCTGGGGTTCCTCAAAGTCAAAAAACCTTCGGCACTTCACACCATGAAGTTGTGCTCCCAACGTACGAGGCCGGGGTGGAATTTAGACTCACCGGGAGATGTGAAAACCTTTCTGCTGAGGCAAAGTCTCGGTCGTGTTTTAAGCTGCTTCATCTCCTCCAGAACGAGATGAGCCTTTAAACTGAAGCGAATGCTTCCTTTCCGGTGGGTCACAAGCCAGCAGGAGGTTTTAACCTCTCCCTTGCAAACCCAGAGGATGAGAAACGTCCCCAAACTCTGAGGTGGGGCTACACCACCCGAGATGGGCTCCACCCAACAGCGAGAACGGATGGTCTCGGTGATAAAAACTTTCTAAAGCTGCTATCTTCCACAGGAACTTTGCCCAGGTATCTGGGGATCTCCTTGAACCTGAGCTGCTTTCCAGTGCTACCTGGTATTAAGGAGATCCAACGCTCCCCCAGCACACCCGGGGACAGGTCTCTAGCACTTGGAGAGGGTGGGAGCACTGGGACAGGTTCCCAGAGAAGCTGTGGATGCCCCATCCCTGGAAGTGTCCAAGGCCAGGCTGGATGAGGCTTGGAGCAACCTGGTCTAGTGGAAGGTGTCCCTGCCCATGGCAGGGGGTGGGACCAGGGGGCATTAAGGCCCTTCCCAACCCAAACCATTCCGTGATTCTATGGTACTATGACCAGTCACTGGGCAACTCATGAGAGAGATTTGGGTTTCTCTTACCCTTTTCCCCTACGAAAGGCAAAGACCACGTGAAGACATCCATGAAGTTTGGAAGCCAGTAGGGGTGAGGGGAACAGTTGAACTGCCTGATGTTCATGACGTTGTTTTCGTATTTCAGTACGGCAGCTGGGAGAGAAAAAGGAAAGACAACGCACGTCCACGGGCACGGCCAACTCCTGGGAGCCGTAGCTGTGCTGCGGGAACTTTGTTATCCACCAGATAATCCCAGCTCCCCAGAGCGGGAACAGACTCTTCCAGCTCCCCCCTTATGTCACTTCTAAGCCCACCGCGAGAGCGAAGGGCAAGTGAGAGCTGTTGGCACTTCGGCAAAGCGGCAGCGATGAACGCAGAGCCAAGCTCCAAAGCGAGCGGCACGCAGCTGAGGAAAGCTCCCCACCACGGGGAATTAAAAGCTTGCCTCTCCTTCCCCTTCACGGCAGTGTTCATCAAAAGTGCTCGGCCGACACGGGGCTGGAAACGGAAGCGTTCTCCGAGGCTTCGTACGGTGACAGCTAATTGCCACAGTAACACATTAAGTCTTCACGACAGAGAAGGCAGCCCCTTCCAGCTCCTGACACCTAAAGCTCGCTCAATGCACACCAAGAATGCGACTAGAGAGGGCGGAGTGGGCAGGGGAAGGTGGAGAGGGATTTCAGGGACAGTACGGACACGCCAAGAGCAGCGGAGACTCGCCCCTGCCAGCCTTACCCTTGTTGTTATAGACATCTAGGTAATTTGGTGCAGAGAAGATTGTGATTAATGACGGAAAGCCTGTTGTCTGGCTCTTCCTGTACATTCGGTACCTGAAAAACAGGTCAAGTGTTAAACGTGTCTTGCTACGGGTAGCGGGGAGCCTGCTCAGGCAGCAGGCTGCGGCACTTACCCAGCGTCCTGGGCTTCGTGAGCTCGGATGACAGATAACAAACTATTGTTCTGCAAAAATTCACACACTGCAGGGTAACTGGAAGACAAAAAGCAAGTAGGGGTTACCACAGCAGAAGAGAGAGCACCCGTGGCCTTGGTTTCAGGAGCCAGTCACCTGCAGCATCCCGGGGGCTGCGTCCAGCATCCCCAAGCCAGGCCAGCAGGTATGACATCATTCAAAAATTAATTGGGAAGCGCTGTGTTGAACAGAGCCCTGATGCCAAATCCTCCCTACCAGCCGGGCTAACAAGTGGTCTGTCAGCACCAAATGCTTCTCTTTTAGACAGGAAAAGGCTATTTCCTAGAGCTCCTGGTACTGCCCAGTGCCTGAAAACCACTCCAAAGGCACCCTGCCAGCTACAAGCAGCATCTCTGCTGTCCGAGACAATTCCACAGGGCAGCACATCCACAGAGAGCTCGATATTGGTGCATTAGAGCCAAGGGGAGACTGCTCCAGGGCCAGGTACACTGTGAGGTCCCACAGCGACTGGAATAGGAATTTATCTCCCTCTACACCTTAGCGTAAGGGGTGACAAAAAGCTCTAGTCCACCCGAGCCCCCCAAACTCACCTGTAGAAATAGGAGCAGCCGCGAACAGTGTTGTGGGCGAAATGCTCCAGCGTTTTCTCGTTGCCGTAATCCTCCGAGGGATCGGACCAGAGCAGGTCACACATCGGACCAAAAGCTGGAGGCTCCTTAAACCTGTCTAACTGGAAAACGTAGCCAAAGTGAGGATGATGCTGGCGAAGGCTGCAGCAGCATCCACATCCCAGCGGCATGGCGGGGATCCAGCCAGCCTACTACGAGGTGTAAGGTAGGTGAAAGGACGCCGGAGATGACTTACTTTCCTAATGTCATCTAGACACGTGATTTCTGGAGACAGTCCTCCGTGCACACACAGGAACTGCTGGTTTAAGAGGGCAGCAAGAGGAAGACAGTCAAATGTATCCATACACGCATCATACACTCGCTCCGAGTACTTGATTCGACCTGGAAAGATGGAGGGTAGGGAGGGGGGAAGAGAGGGAGGAAAGGAATTCATTTGCACAACAAAGACTTTTTTTTTTTTAATCTTTTCATTTCTTTTGAGTCATTCAGGCAGCCAAACCTACGTGACAGAAGCAGTTTTGATCAGCCAAAGCCCTGATAACGAAGTTCAAGGAACCCAAGCCCCGAGGCGATAAGGAAACCCCGTGTCCACGGCCCAGCAAGGCGGACTCTGCACCCCCCCCCCGTACCAGCAAAAACGCTGACACGGAAAACACGCGCTGGACATGGCAGAAAGGCTGAAAACTCCCTCTGGGGTTTTCTTCTTCTAGAAGACCTGCACTGCGATTGACACAGCGAAGAGGCTGGGTGTTTGCCACGGATAGAAAACTTGGGATGGTAACAAATCCAGCCTTCCGACGCTCACACTGCACCTCCGGACTCGGTCTCACCGGCCTGAGCTGCTGGGCAGACTGCACTCCAGGAAACACAGCAGCTCTCCAGCTTTGCAGAGCAGCAGCACAGGCATTTAGGACAGGAATTGCCTTTTTGGCCGGACACGAGTGCTTTGAGTTGGAATTTGACCAAGATGCCCCCAGATAAACGAAGCTTCACATGGGCTCTTTCAGGGCCACGATCTCTGCTGGGTGTCTCACCTTCACCTGGGGTGAAGGGGATGTTTCAATCCATCAGAGATACCACAGCCTTTCCGAAGGCAGCCGAGCTTTTACAGCAAGCCTCCGCCTGCAGAAATCTCTCAACGCTTCCCATTAGAACCCCAGGATGGTCTGGGGGGGAAGGGACCTTAAAGCCCCCCCAGTCCCACCCCCTGCCATGGGCAGGGACACCTTCCACTAGACCAGGTTGCTCCAAGCCTCATCCAGCCTGGCTTTGGACACTCCCAGGGATGGGACATCCCCAGCTTCTCTGGGCAACCCGTTCCAGCGCAGAGCTGGCTGGTGCGTCCCGGCTCAGTTCTGAGCGAGCAGATGTCCTGACCTCGGTACCGACCAGCCTTACGCCACCCAGCAGCACCCAGAGCCGAAGGGATAAAGCCTGGACTTGTGCCTGGCCTGTAACTAGTTCCTGGGGTCGGGTTCTTGAGAAACTGTCCCCTCCGAGAGCATTTCTGGCTTATACCTTCTCAGTGCTGTGAGGAACGACCATCATCCTCCACGGAGAGGGGTCGCTCCCCAGCCTTTCCTCATGGCTGGTTTAAAAATAAATACGTAAATGCTGCCCAAAACTCTCGTTAACTCAACTAAGATGATCTGAAAGGTGATGATTCTCCCTAGCGCAAACAGGGAGGAACAAATCCTTCGCCTGCTTCCAATTGCAGCCAGCAATCCCCGCTGCGGGCTCTGGAGCTCCAAGTCAGCTGGTGGTTAATTATACATCCCTGGGCCTGCGAATTGGGGCTGGGGGGGCACATGCAACCAGCTCATCAGCGAGATGGGGACAACGCGCTCACGTTTCTTCCAGCCGCCCTTCTGCTTCGGAAGCAGGAGGCCCCAGCGAGACACTCAGCACCTCACAGGACTTAGATATTTGGGATTTTCTTTTTAGCAGGAGCTGAAACAGGGGAAGAGCTGTGCACGCTGGGAAAAGACAACGCATACCGACAGCACTCATGGCAGGCACAAAAATCAAGCTCCACCCCCCCGGCCCCTAGTGACAACACCTTA